GATGGGAGTTTCACGTAGTGTCGGGATTGATTCAGAATCCAGGTGGTGCAGAAATGAGAGGATGGGCCTCAGTTCCCATTGGAACATGCAACTGGAAAGATGCAGGCTGACCCCTTCTGCAAGGAGTCTATATTTGGATTTTCCTATAATGCTTCTTGTGAAGTGTGAAAATCATTATGTTTCTATAGGAAGTAAACTTTAGTCGTCAGTCATACCAGGATGCTCTGTTCAGCTCACCCACGCTGACAAGCTGGAGGCTAAGCAGGATGGTGAAAGCTTAGAAACCATGAGACAGAAGGTGGTGAATCTCCCAGGCACCGGAGACAACCACTTATGGAGACAGGAGAGGATATCCATCAATCGGAGAGAGAATTGATTTGGTAACCATTGACAACCATATTCTCGGAGGGTTCCTTCCAACTCAGAGAACATGAAGACGTAAAAGCAACTTGTCGGAGAGTTGGACAGCCAGAATTGCAAGTTCTCTCTTTTGGTCATTGAGGCTTGTGCCATATTTGTAAAAAGTCTCTAGGACTGGATGCTCTTCCTGACTCTCTTTTGCATATAGCCACCAAGAGGAATACTGTTCCATTTGGAGGCTTTGTACCTTTGCCAAGTTAAGAGGAAGCTTGTCTTTATAATCAGGATTAGGAAGAAAGCACAAAGCATCTAACTGCTCATGATAGATTCTTCTAGATGAACTTGCCCATCTCCTTAACAGTTCAGAACAACTAAATTGAGAGTAGAGACCAGTTGAGAGGACTCTACCTGAGAGTGTTTTAATTCTTGCTGGTTTTAAAAAGGAGTAAAATCATCCCCTGTATAAAGAGTATTCCCTAGGCAGCATACAGCATGCCACTAAGGCTGTCTAGACACTTGGGGGATGTCACCTTTGCCCTGTTCAAGAGTCTCCAGAAGGTACAAATAGGCCCCCTTGAATACATGACTGTGCCTGCTGTTTGAGCTCAGGTGCGCTGTTGGTGCCTGCAGTGAAATTCTGTAACTGTTTCTATTCTTTAGCACCTTCCATAACACTTCAGCCTACCAACTGTGTCTGAGTAGGGGAGAATCTGCATGAGTGGAGATTCTCATGCCACTGGGAACATGGCCAAAGAATATATTCCTTCTCCAATCTCCACTCTATACATATGCATCTCACTTGTCTCTCTAAATCTGTCCATCACAGAACACTCATTTCTTGAGTTTGGGTCCAGGGTGAAGGTGGGAAATGTTTTAACTTTTATCTTACGAAATCTTGAGAACATCTGTAAAGCTAATGTACTATGGAGATGGTGCTTTCCCCCTCCCGGAACTATGAATATGGGGACTTTCTAAGGCAACGATTTAATCAAACCTTGCTTGCTTGCTATGGGAGATTCAGTCACCAGAGAACCAATGAACGTGTTTGATCTGATTTTCTGTACTTTGGGTAGGCTGCAATCTTTAGTAGCAAGCAAAATTATATCCTGAAGCTTCCTTCAGATGGCCTGCCTACTATCCTTCAATCTCATCTTTCTTAAGGTGTGTCTGTGTTGTCCAGTATCTCCGCAGCCAGAGGAAATGCAGCTTTCTTGGAGAATTGGTCACTAAAATACAAGGGTGCCAAAAATATCAGAATGGAGTGATTGCCTTTAGTATCTTAAATTTTTAATTTAATGTTGACATGAGAACTGGTTGTTTGCCATCCTTCCCACCCTCCACCATCACCCACTTGTCTGCCCCTGACTATGGGCCCTGAAAGAAAATTTCCAGACTTTATTCACAATGGAACATCTCTTTAGGCCACAGCATCAGATCCTGGGATGATAAGGAAGCCACCAATCCAAGAGACTTGGGTTCTGATGCAAGTTAGTTTGCCCCTCTGAGATTCAGTTTCCTCATCTATAAAATGAGAGATTGAGTTAGTTTCGTGACTAGTAAGAGTTCACATAAGTAGTAACAGGATCAATAGTAATCTGGGTCAATATTTGTTGAGCAGCTATTACATGCTTTTCAATATGCCAGGACTAGTTGTTAATCAATGGAGTAGGGGGTGGGGAGGCAGAGTAATAAATGAATACTTTTGATAGATTAATAATATGGTGAGAACTAAGTGCAAGAGAAGCTACAGAAGCATAGCAAGAGCCCACTTCTTTTCAGTATTTGAAAATCAAATAAAACGCCTACATTTGCTCTGGTAAGATTGAGCTGCCAAACTAAAATGCCTAGTTTCTTTCTGGTAGCTGGAAAAATGTCAGCCTAGTGTGGTAAGGTTGGTTCTTTTATGCTGACCCAGAGCCCTGATTGGTAGTTGGAGCCATAACTAGCAATTTTGGCACATGTGGCAAACACCATGCGACAAACCCTAAAATCAACTTTTTAACTCATGTTGCGGCTCACAGATGGGTGTTATAACCAATGTGCACCATCTGGTAGCTTTCTATTTTAGCTCTTCATTCCTTCTAACTAGATACTGAATTTTTAAAATTATCATTTTAAATTTATGTGACCTCTAAACGTTCCTGACCTGGGACAAAAAGTCCTCGTCATCCTGCCCTCATTATAGTCATGATTTTGACTTCAAATGAGAAACATATTATTACTTAAAGCAATTTGTTTCATAAACCAACATTTTTCAAACATGAGGTCCATGAAATAAAAATTAGCAGAAAAGAGCTTTTGCTGGTTAAAAGACTCTATACTCCATTCCTAGGTGGTAAGTGTCTCGAGTTCCAAAACTTTGTTCTCCATCTTGCCTGCAGTGCTTGGTACTTGGCACATAGTGGGTACTCGATAAGAATTTAATTGGAAGCATACCAATGGATCGGCAACAATACAGCAATCCAATTTGGTTGCTAATATCCTTCCAAAAGTCTAGGCCCACGTCCAAAGGCTAGAACAAACTCCAGGATGTTGTGTGGACAGAGCCTTGAGCTAATTGGATGTCCCTTCACGTGTTCCAAAGATCTGTTTTGCAAATTAAAACCTGCACAGACACACCCTCAGGCACTAGCACTCCATGGGAATGGTCCTGTGGTTCCTATCATATCTTCTGATGTTGTGATGTTATATTTCTTGCTTACATCTATCTTTTAATTTTTGCTCATATGTCCACATGCGTAGATTTTTTTCCTTTTTCTTTAAGAAATGGAAATCTCTTGCAGGACCACCTGAGGAAGGCCAGAACACCCAACAGTGACCCAAATAACTATCGGGGAAGCCTGGGCAGGCTCGGTCGTGCCCTGGTTCATTTTCTCCCTGCTTTTGGCTATGAAGCCACAAATACTAATATCTCAAGACAGAATTTCCTTCTTCTTTTTTCCCCCAACAGATCAATTCATCAGGCTTCCGGGAGACACTCCCATTACCTCTTATTTCTAGTCTTGCAACATTTATGTTTCATATACACTTACATTCCTTTTTTACTAAACAATATGAACTACTGTGTAGATTTGGAAAAAATAAGAAAAGATGCTTATATAAAGCCTTTCGGAATATATAATGGAAAGATGTTTTGAGCTTAGAAAATTAGAAATTGCAAGGATAGGGAAGAAGAATTTCACAAAGTCGGGCATCAGAATTAGATCTGAAATTATTATTATTTCTTTGTTACTAAACTCTAAAATGGTAAAAAAAAATGCATAATGGAAAAGTTAATAGATTAGGCTTCAGTTTTAAACTACTGTACTTAAAAAGAATACCACATTTAAAAGGCTAATATTTTTCAACAACTGCCTAAAAAGATAAATATTTCTAACATGATAGACAAGGGGATAAAAATTTAATCTAGAATGCATTCTTACAAACCAATAGAAAAAGAACATCCCAGCTGCAAATGGCGAATAGACCTGAGTAAATAATTGCAAAAGAAGAAATACCAATGGCTAATAAATACATGGGAAAAAGAACAGACAAGTTTATTTGCAATAAAACTATTCAGACTTAAAGCAGTGAAGTCCGATATTTGTTTAGAAATTAGCAGAGATTTCCTGAATAGATAATACCTACCCTCAGGGAGGGGTCAGTTGAACAACCACTCTCAGACTCTGATGAAGATACGGTTTGGGTCCACCAGGCTGGAGGGCAGTTGTCAAAGGCTTTTCAAAAGCAGCTTCTCTTTAGACCTACCAATCTCACTTCGTTCAGCAAATATTTTTGAGCACCTACAATGTGTCCATGGTTTCCAGTTACTAGAAACTAAATTTAAGTGCTAAGGACTAAATCTATCCTAAAGAAACACTCAGATAACTGCATACTCATTTACAAGGGTGTTATTAAGTGTTTATAATAATGAAATATTGAACATAAGTTAAATGTCCAACAGTAGGAATTTGGTTAAGCAAATTATGGTATATCCCTGCAGTAGAATATTCTACAGCAGGCCAGGAACCATTTTAGAGATCATCATATGGTGGTGCACAGGCTCACACTGTGCCCTTGTAGCCAGGTAAAGTCACTTCTCCACCAATTTTACTTCTTCTGCGCAAATGCTGTCATTTCCCACACATAGTAAAGACCCACAGCTATCAATCACTATGAGGTCTCCCAAGAATAATAAACCCGGACTTGATGGGTGGAATCTTTCATGATGAGCAGAATCTTCCATCACCGCATGTCTTGGTTTATGAGGTCAACCTTTCCTCTAACATTTTACTTGGAAGAAAGAAAAATTTATCCCAAAAGGGACACATATACACAAATAACTCAAGGGGTAGGTGGAGAGAAACCCCAACAAAAGCACTTCTTTACCAGCCTCTTACTCCCAATCTATCCAAAATATTACTGTAAAGGAGCTAAACTAGAAGGCTTTGGAGTGTTATTTATCTACTTTGATGTCTAAGACACTCACTGTACCCTTTCTGGTTGTTTTCTTGGTTCCTTTGTTACGGATGAGCACTGGGCTGGCAGGAAGGCGGTATGACTGAGGATGGCCATGTATTTCTATTTCCAGGTTTATTGTACATTTCGAATGGTGTGTGCCATGACCTTCTAATGATGTGTGGTTGTTGTTCTTTCCTCAGAATGTCGAGTGGTGAAGTCTACTTCTTACACCAAAATAGCTTCATCATCCCGCAGGAGCACCACCAAGAGCCCAGGACCTTCCAGGCGCAGCAAATCCCCTGCATCAACCAGCTCAGGTAAAGCAGCAGAGGAGGCTGAAGAAGCTGCCTTGTTCTGATGTATGATGAGCAGAGAGTATGTGAAGCCAGAGCATGAGGTTTCAAGATAGTGTAGACTCCGGTTTATAATTTTAGAACATGTTAGAGAGTGGTGGAACAGATTCGCTGAAGTCTAGCATGTTGGCTGTAAGAAAAAACATTGAGCTCAGGAAAACTAACTTAGTGAAGACTCAAGAAATCCAGATTTGCCCACAAATAGATACGACTGACTTGTGTCATTCTACCACACAATTTAATTTTTCAGGCTAAGGCCCCCCAATTCCAAAAGTCTCTGTTAAAGCATTTATTCTACTTGGGACTGGCTTTGAAGAGTTGCCAGTGTATTTGCTGAACTGTTGTTTTAACACACGTTCTGCTCTGGCCCCCGCGTGGCTGCAGAGCTGAAAGCAGTGAGAGCAAGAGCCTGGGGCTGGGAGAGCTGCTCTGACTCTGGGCCTGCGTCCTGGCTTTCAGGGGCTCTAGTGCTCATGTGGGAGCAGGATGTGTGCTTACAAGATGACCATCTCAGCCCTGCCTTTTCCTTCTTTGGTCTTAAAACTATCATGAGTCAGTTAGAAGGTGGTTTTGGGTGGGGTTTTTTTGGTCTCAGGTGTAAGGTCTATTTCACTATTGAAGGGAATTATTTATTAATGGATATAAATTGTTGAATGGGAATTACTAAATGATACATACATCAAAGCGATTGTCACCTGATTTCATGAAGACAAAGAACCTCTTATAAGTAGGGACAGAGATCTTTAGGGCCTACACACAGGCCTTCTTGTACTCACCAGTGTGGGCCCAGAGGGATATGAACAGATCCCTAGACTGGGCTGCAAGGCCTGCCTCCAGCACCACTGGCCAGCTGTTACACTACTGTATCAATTATCACCTCCACATTTAAAAACAGAGGTGCTATAATCTGTTTTTCCTAATATAAAGTAAAACTGAAACCTCCAAAGTGAGTCTTGGAAGAAGGAACTTTTGTAGGCTGGATAGTGGAGCCCCAGCCCAACTGGGTTCTCTAAGAGACACCTTCCCCTTGAGCTTTACTCATTCCTGCTCTTCCCTGGATAGGTCTACACAGACCTTCTTCTTCTTTGATATTCACTCTGAGGGTGGCAACAGGGGCTACCACTGCCCCCTTCCCACAGCATGGCCTACTTCGTAACCAGTAAGGGAATAAGTCTCAGAACACTACTGGCACTTGAGATGCAGCTTATTCACCCTGCCTAGTTTAGAGGTGGGCTGAGAACTCCTCCCTTGATACCACATAGCTCACCCATATTGGATAGAACACCAAAATAAAACTTTGCTAAAGGGTAAGGTAGTGAGACTCAAAATTTAAAGTGCATGAGAGTCATTTGGGAACTTGATAAAGTTTGTCATCCTGACCACCCCCCTCCCCGCCTTGATTTTGACTAAGACCATAAACTTGTGTTTTACCAAGTATTCTAGGCAATTCTGATCAGATAGTGTATGGGCCACATTCAGAGAAACAGTGGGTTAAGGAAGTGGTTCCCAAAGTGTGGTTCCTGGACCAGAAGTATCACTATCACCAGAGCATGTTAGAAATGCAGAGTCTTGAGTCCTTCCCCAGACCCGCTGAATCTGAAACTCTGGAGCTAGATCCCAGCAATCTGGGTTTTCACAAGCCCTCCAGGTGATTCTGATGCTCACAGAAGTTTGAGAGCCACTGAATTACAGGTAACAAAAGAGAAATAAATACGAGAAGTCATTTGACTCTGGATAATCTGGGGTGAAAAGATATGACTTGCTCATCTTCATTTATTGGCATGACAGAGTTGACTTCCTTTCTACCTCCCTGCTTGCCTCCAAGTGGTAATATCCATCTTTAATCCTTGCAACCCAAGAGCAGACCCCTAGATACCTTGAAGTGTAGGCCAAGAGAGCCATGAGCAAAGGAGAGTACCAGACACCAGCTACCTTTACTACTTCCTTACGGTGGCATGCCTTCAGAGAACCAGTTACCTGGGAGAAGAGAGAATTTCTGCCAAGATCATCCCTTCCCTGGAAACTGATATTGGGGAAAGTCTCTCCCTTTAAGAGAGACGCCACCTACATGCAGAGATAGGGACCTCCACAAAGTGACAGACTGATGCTGGAATTGCTGCTTTCAAATTCCCCTGGGAGACCTTAACTTGTTCATTAGCCAGCTGACAGGTTAAAACTGAGCCCTTTGGAAGATTTTCAGCCTTGACCAAAGAACATTCCTCATTTTCTCTGAGAAAGCCTGGGCTGTAGGATGAATTCTCATGGGGCAGAAAGGGAGAAAGAGGGCCTAGCCAGCCTGTTTCCCCTAAAATGTTGGCTGTTTAGTACAATTATGGAAGGATATGAAGAAGAATAACATCCACTTTAACTGAAACATTATTAATACTACTAAAAAACATCAATATTAAAAAACAAAATTAGTCCCCAATCCAAACCAACTTTGACATTGACAAATGTTACTTATCTTTCCTCTTATATACCATGTATATACCATGAATTTTAAAATATCAGGTGTAATGCAGGTAAACATCTATAATGGGTGGGTGATTAGCCAAATTCTTGCATCTTTTACAGAATAGGTATTTCAAGAGACTCAGTATGCACTATCACTATTAACTTTTTGTTGTTGTTTTTAACAGGTTTTGTTTTTAAGAGCTCTAGGCAGTTAGATGATCCTGGGTTTGGGAATTTCTTTTCTTTTCTTTTTTCTTTTTGTCCCCATAAGTCAAGGAAGGTAGAGGATAGGTCAGATTATCATGCACGTGTCAAAGAGTGGAATCTTGAGATTTGGAGCAGTGACCGTCTCCTGCTAAGGTTTCCATTACAGATGCAAGAAGTGTCCCCACACTTTCTGTCTGTCTGAGGTGGCAACTAAGACTGCACAGGTGAATAAAGGAGGAAAACATGGAGAGAGAATTTTTGCAACTCAGAAATAACCTGTAAATAGTGAAGAGCCTGTTTTACTCCAAAAAAGAATATAAAATTTGAGTCACACATACAAAAGAATCATGAATCTAATCTTAAAATGATAATTATGAATACAGGAAATTATTTCACTTTAGAATTAACTGGTAACGTAGTCACTATTCAGCATCTCTAAGATTATATAATTCTTATAGGTATAATATATTTAATTATAACCTTGTAGATGAATAGATTATTTACCAAGAGTAATTTTAGAAACTCAAAAAAGCAGACAGGCAAATGTATTAAATATGTTTGTATTTGTTACTGCCAACATTTGGAACTATTCCTTTTAGAAGTTTAAGCTGGTAGGACACATACCTCAAAATCAATAGATTGCTTCAAGCAACTGTTTTTATTTTCTGTTCTTTCCCAAAAGCCTTTTTCAACTCTAGTTGAAACCTGGTTTATTTAACCAGAGCTAACTTAGAATCTGTGATAGGTAAGCCATGCCAGGTAGTATCATTTCCATAAAGAAAGTGGAATCCGAATCTATTCTAAAATCAATATGTTCTTCAAAAATTAACATTTCATTCAAGGTGTCTTTAACTTCTAGGTCAAAATTAATTAAATGGCAGTGATCATGTATTGTTTAATATGACCGTTTATGCATATAAAATGTTAAACTTCCTGCATTTTGATCTAGAAGATATGCCATACAAGCATTTCTCGGTTATATACAACTTATAATATGTAATGCCTTGTCTCTTGATTCTGACTTGCTACCAGATCTTACCACCTTCTGGTGGATGATTCTAAGTTAGAGATGGTTTACAGAGCAGCAGTATTCAGTTGCAAATATGTGGATGATGCCAGTGATCCAAGACCACTCCCTTTCCCTGGGACCTAAGCCCAGGGTTTAGGAAGTACAGTGATATTTCCATTTTGAAGTGTAGCTGTTGGATGTCAAAGGGAGACCCTCCCTCAGGTCCCTCCACCACACTAGCCCAGACTCCTGTCTCTACTCAAGTATGGCTCTTGAAACCAGTAGAAAGGAGCAGTGAATTATCTCTCTATCGATTGTATCACCATTTTCTTCAAATAGCCTGTTTAGTGTTTTTCATAAATCATAAAGACTGGAATGTGAATAATTTTACTTTCATACCTCTCAAGCATTGATGTTGCCCCAAACTCAGTCACCACTATGAACCTAACTTTTTAACTTTAAAGAATCTTTGTTTTCCCCCCTAAAATATTAAAGTTTGAAATGGTTTTACTTCACTTTTTTAGTTTCTACTTCCAGTATTCATCCTTCTACCTTATGCAGAGATTGGAGCATGGTATAAAGTTAAGATTTGCTCAGTTTTTGAGCCATGCTGCTGTTCAGGGTAATATTGTTAACTTATATTTAAATGAAACATCAGAGTTTACATAGGACTTTTATCTTTTTGATCTTTTTTGATTTTCCCAACAACAAGCAAGACAAGGTATAAATAATATAGTCTGTTTTCAGAAATGAGGAAGCAGAGGCTCGGCTGGGGGGAACTCTTTGCCCAGTCTCACAGAGTTACTAGTGGCAGCTCAGGGCTGGCACCTGGGGCTTCCAGTGCTCCAGAAACACAATCCTTGATATCTGTTTCTTCACCTCTGCTTATTAAAGTTTTGATCTCCAGGAAACAACTAATACAATACCTGGTTTAAGATTGCAATTTACAACATCATTACACCTTGCAGCAGAAGCCTAAGGATTAGTCCCAGGCACCAGCGTCCCAGGAGGTGAAATGAGTCAACCCAACTTCATGATGTTTGTCAGTGTCAGACAGAAACTTCCCTGTGTAAGCCGGTGTTAGAACAAGAAGGAGAATCTTCTATAAATCTTCTCTTTGTCCCTTACCCGTTCCTCTTCTTGGGACTAAAAGCAGTAAGAGGTGATTTATTAACATAAGGTGTTCATTTACACATTCAGAAATATCAAGCACGGGCCTGCCAAGGTCAGGCATTTGCTGGGCGCTAATAATGCAGAGATGAAAGAAACAGCCCCCACTCTCAAGAAGCATACA